TATAATATAATATAACTCATTAAAGTACAATATAATATTATAATATATTATATAATATTATATTGCATTACATTTAATAATTATAATACTATAATAATGTAAACTAAATATTATAATATTTTATTTACAATTTATTTTATTATAATTAATATAGAATATATTAATAATATGTTTAATACTAATGTTATAATGAGTCAAACTAGTGTTGACCAAAAATACTTAACATGATGTTTTGAAAACATTTTAAGAGAAAAACACAACATCATGGTGTTTTTTTATAAAAACGTTTACTCGACCTAGTAGAATCTGTTGGACTATCATGTATAGAGTTTAAGAGTATCGATTCTAAGCACTAAAGGATTATTTTTATGTTACCATCCACTTCTGTAATTATCCTTTGCATTCAGCAAGCTACATTCGGACTGCACATCTAAATCTTAGTAATTCTTCATCCTCTTCTTTTCAAAGTAGATCAGAAGTCAGAACATTTTGGTTAGTGATGTTTACTCGACCTAGTAGAATCTGTTGGACTATCATGTATAGAGTTTAAGAGTATCGATTCTAAGCACTAAAGGATTATTTTTATGTTACCATCCACTTCTGTAATTATCCTTTGCATTCAGCAAGCTACATTCGGACTGCACATCTAAATCTTAGTAATTCTTCATCCTCTTCTTTTCAAAGTAGATCAGAAGTCAGAACATTTTGGTTAACATTTTAAATGACATTCGTCTTATTATACGCCTATCTCAACCTTCTCTTTTATATTTTTAAAGTTTGTCACTTAAGTTTTGAACTGAAGTTTGCCAAGATCAATTTTAACACTATATCCTGTCATTTATTTTGGTTGTGGAAACAAATATGTTTGACCTAAAAATAAGTTTCAGTGGCAATCCCTTTATTATAAATCTAAAAGAGATAATTGTATTGCTTATTATGTATTGTCATTGTTTACTTATTTCAAGAGAAGAGGAACCATCTTTTCAAGAAGAAAAGGCGATAGAGATAAAAAAAAGTTCTAAGACCTTCCTGAATTTCCTTCCAAGCCTTATCCCCTTGTCTTTTTGTTTCACATCACTCACATCCTCTTAAGCCCATATGGACACAATTATAGGGATACTTTCAGATGTGCATTTTGATATTCTTCTTTGATCCTTTTGTGAACTATTTTCATGTGAACCCAAGTTTCGCCTATTTCTTGTGATTTCACCTTGTGATGTATCCCCAGGAATTTCCTATTGTTGAGGAGTTCCATCTAGTTGAAATTCCACATCCCTGAGTTTCATTCATGGGTCTGTTGTCCCGGAGCATGATCTCAAGCGAAAATAAAGGTTCTAAAGGGGACAGTAGAGTAGGAAGTGTAAACATACACTTTAAGGCCTATTAGAAATAATGGGCAGGGGAGACATAGGAGAAACCAAGAGAACATAAGATATGAAAGTGAAAACAAGGATGGGATGCAAAAAGGATGTAAAAGCTTAGTTGTAGAATGGGAAGGGGGAGAAGAGTTCTGTCTAATCTGTAAACCATCTGCATTTTGTGTACTTCCCACTGTTTATTATTTACTCTCTACCTTTTCCCCTTACAGCCTACGACTTTTAGACTGTTTTTAGAAAATTTCTGTGAGAACTCCTCGTGTCAGGGAGGAAAGAGTAGTACGATACTGAGGATGAAATATCCAGGGGAAAACTAATAGGAAGAAATGCGAAATGAGAGCCTCTCTTCTAATGCAAATGCCAGTTTTTAGGTGTCTAATGTACAGATCACTTATCTTACCAGCTGAGAGATTTTAGGATAATAAATTGTGTTATATCTATTAACAGTTTTGGTAAAAGAAATGATAGGGGCACACCTTAAACCACACCTCCAACCACACCCCCTCTCCCATTCGTTACAGTATTCCGGGCCCCACATGAGTTTTTAAATTTTAAAAACTCATGTGGGGCCCGGAGTACTGTAGCGAATGGGAGAGGGGGTGTGGTTGGAGGTGTGGTTTGGGATGTGCCCCTAACACCACTCTAAAAAAATACACTCTCTTCCCCAAATACTTTTACCATAGCATGTGCCAATCACGTGTTTCTTAACTACTCGCTCCCTTAACCAAAATTTACCTGTGATTCTCCCTAAGGGGGCTTAGTCACCTAGAATTTAAAATTAGAACCGGTATAATTTATGGGATAAATTTTTAAGGTGTTAGTCAAATAGAACTAAAACTAGAATAAAATTTTACAGTGTTAGTCAAGTAGAACTCTAGCAAAACTAGAATTGGGATAATGGTACAAAATTATCCCACTTTTTTTATTTTTCTATACAAAAATGAGAGTTCTAGTCTCTCAAATTATTCCAAGTTTTAGCTTGGAACTAGAGGTGGTAAAAATATAGGACTCAAATTTATTTTGTTATTTTATATTTTTTATATTTCTTTTTTTCTTTACTTCTTTCCTATTATGGTTATCACCATTATTAGACCATTATAATAATAATTGTCAATATCTTATAGTCTAACCAAAAGTTATTTAATAGTAAAGAACATTCTTGTAAGCAATTATCAATCAATAATAGTAAGTTTAAAATACATAAATAGTATTTATATCTTCAAAATGCATACATATATATTTCATGATTATAAAAAAAAAATTATCCTACGTTATTTTATCAAAATATCTCGCTTCACAAAATTGTTCCTATTTATCCCACTAACATATCCCACTAACGAAAAATTATTCTACTTTAACAATTATCTCATTTTGCATGAAAATGTCTCAATTGACTAACACCCCCTAATTAAATTTTCAAAAAATAAATGTTAGAAAGCTAAACACGCTTTCTTCCTCTTGTTCCCCCCAAATCCCTAATCTCGTTGTTTCCTAAAGTAATAAGCAAGTAGTTGAAATAAAGTAAGTAGATAATACTTATGCTACATTCGAGAAAAAAAAAAAATTGTTTCTTTAAAAACCTACTTTCAATACCTCCTTAAATACTAATGTGACGCCTACGTGTCATTCTTACTTCCTAAATATTTTTTTGCACATCAAGACTCAGAAGTAGCCCGGAAATAAGTGAAATGTGCATTGATTATAAATAATTTTTCTTATTAATATTTTCTTTATTAGTTACTTCCTAACAACTTTTTATTGCTATCCGAACAAAAAAAAAGAGAATGAAGAATAAGAAGTGCTATTTTCACTACTTTAAAGAGCATGTGAAACAAATAAAAAATTAATACTTCCACTACTTTCTACTTCATAAATTTAGAAATTAGTCCTTTGATCTACTTCCTACTTTCAATACTTATGGCAAACCAAACGGGCCCTTAAAACTAGGGCATAATTTAGTGGATGGGAACAGAGATGAGGGAAGAGAGAAGCACGTGATTTACACATGCAATTAGTTCGGTAATCCTAGTTAAAGCCAAGTTAAGAGGAAAACACGTGTTTTTTATGTGCATTTAGTCGGGGTGATTTGGATAATGAGGATATTTTTTTTAAAGCATAAATCGATCAAAAAGTATGACATCACAACAATAACCCCAATTAGAGATGATTTCTAAACAAAAAATAAATGTGGTCTCTATCAATTTCGATAAACTTAAAGATGGTTTCCGTGTAAAAACTCATTAGAAAATATCTCGTGAACATTCTTCAGTGAATCTCATGACCGACGTAAATTTGTCTAACATTCAGTTTTTGACATACCTCCTAAGCACTTAAATTACCCAAGGGAGAGCTTCATCAAAACCCCTAAAAGGTTTGGGGGTTTGTATAAAACCCCACCTCGAACTCATGGTGAGCAGCCCTCATCAAAACCCTTGTATACCCCTCCATCAACGCGTATCCAACTTGCCGTACCACATTTCCTCCCTGGACCTCGATCGTCCTCCCCGTTTCTAAGGCTCACTCGTAAATAAGACGATGAGTAGACTAGATACTAGTCCGCAGAAACCCATTAGGCTTCCTGCTTATCTCTGTGAAAACTACACAGTAGCACCCAACCAAGGAGAAAATAATATCCATCACTTGTTACCCAATGCTTACTGCTTCATCATATATCAACGCGGCATCAAAAGAGGCGTCTTCTTGAATCAATGTTCTGAAGACTTAGGATGGCACTGATCCACCAAACAGATATATTACATTGACGTACCAATAAAAACATGAACCAAACCCACTAGACAATTGAATACCCGGCATGTCACTACGAACCACAAACACACAATCCAAAGAGCTAGAAGATGGTATGAAACCTATACCGGATGGGCTTCACCGCAACTTACTGGATCAGAGAAATCCATGAACATGAACACCACAGCAATGTAGATGCGACTTCTTTTATCTATTTGTTTCCCCTCTACTGAAGAGCGAGCAGAAGAGGAAAAACAAGGAGCACGCTACACGATTACAGGGGGGACAGTGGGAGGTCGTGCGAAATAGTAACCATGCACTAGATGAATTCTTCGGGAGTGAGAAGGAATAGAATTTGCAACATAATATTCAATTATACAACATAAGTATATTGGATTAACATGATATAATTAGGTATTGTCACGTTAAGTTACACAAATACAAAGAAACCAGCGAAGCTAATTAGTCTTAACAATACAAACCTCTTCTTTTTCTAGGAATCACCTGCATAATATGTATAACCGTCTCATTTAACCTCAAGATTTGCAGGAATACACTGATACACCACCATACAAGTTAAACCTAAGCAATGGTCGGTTCACACACTGCAAAGACAAGGTTAGGCGAGATGAAGCAGGAGAGGATACAACAGTAACGTACCCAGACATCAGAAGCACTTCTTATGAACAATTGCGGGGCCCATCTCATCATATTCACCCTTGGTGATATGCTGATTTTGGGGGAACACTACTTTAGCAAGTATAGCACCCCCCATCCATGCTGAATTCTTGAGTAAATTCTCTGGCATGTACTCTGGAGGCTGCAAAAATAAAATGTAGACGAAAATTATCTGTCTTCTTGCACAATTGTAGAATGTTTTGCCAGAGAGAATATTGCGTTAGATCAAAGAGAACATACCTTGACAAGAGAAGGCCGAATGGATGAAGAACAAAGATCAGATTCTTTCTGGAAACGCTCCTCAAAACCTTGATAAAACAAAATGTTGGAATCAATTAATTTCTGTCACTTAATATAAATTGGTATTGTAAACAAGGCATCTTACAAATCCGAAGATTCCAAAATTTTCCAAAACGTTAAAAAGAAAAAAATAGTAGGATTTATTGGATTGAAGACCACATCCAACTGCTCAAGTAAAACAGGCTTGTACAAGATTCAGTTGGCAGATATGTAATGTGTCAAAAATGGGCACTTGCCTTTACAGGCCCCTTCATGCCCGTCTTCAGCTTAGCAAAAACTCACTTTTCACTTTTTATCTCAATAAAAAATCATCTTATTAGTAAGGGAATGCTAACAGAAACTGGGCATGCAATCAGAAGTTGGCCCTTTTGTTGGAGGATGATTGCAATGACTTGCATTGAGACTTGAGCGATCATTTCTTGAAGAAGAGAGAGCCCTTCATTTCTCCATTATTCATTGTCAAATAATGGAGTTCCCTTCATTCTCACCTTATTACCTTATTAACTTTTCTATGCAATTTTTTGTGCTCATGCCAGCAGTAAACTTGATGTGATGTTCAGATGCAGAGTCCAACCATCGTCCTATAAAGTTTGGGATAACCTTATTCTTTTGCTCCTGATGAACATTATCGATCTGAAAGTCCTTCCTAGATACAACTATGTCATCAACATGAAACCTTGTTCTATCACAGTTTTCCAAAAGACTAAGTTTACATATTTATTTATTTTTAAGCCTTCTCAATGAAAACAAAATTGAGAAACATGCATTGTGGAATTTCATTGTGAGTTTGCATGCAAGGGGAGGCAAGTCATTTATGTAAGCCTAAATATGCACTCTTGAGGTAAGGAATGTGTCTTTGTCCTCCGAAATTATTCCCACATTACTGCCCCTCACGCATCTTCATAGAATTAGTAACAACTAAACGATATTCAAATGGATTCTACCACATGCATTTTCTAAATGGAACCCATGTGTAATATCCAGTTTCTATAAATCTTATCACGTATATCAACAATCAACTTCAACTGCAGACCTCAAACAAAAAAATTCTAGTTTTCAGAAAACAAAATGACTTCTTTTTCTCTTTATCTGCCCAATTACCCTATCCTAGCTTCGAATTGGTTCCAGTGAGAACCAGTTCAGTAGTGGCTTAGCAGCCTCCTGTCCACAACAAAACTAGTTTAGAGGATCTTTTTTGGCTTACAAAAATTGGGCTAACAGTGGCCAATGTTTTTGCCAAACAGAAAAAGCACCCAAAACTAGTCCAGGTTCAATCCTAGCCTAGTTTTGAAGTGTTGCCAAACAGACCCCTAGAATTAGATAATATATGTTATTGTTAGAATATAAAATTATAACCCTCACCATGACTTTCGAGTTTTGGTGCAACGACGGGATCCTTTCACATGGTATCGAGCAACACGGGCTTAGAGTCTTGCTGGCCACAAATTTCTGGCTGGATTTTTTATGCAGTTGCATGTGACCAGATTTCTGCCTGTAAAATGCTGAATTTCTTTTTGTTTTGTGTGTTTTGTGTTTTTAATTTTTTAATTTTTTGTTATTTATTTATTTATTGTTTGTTTGTTGTGGTGTTTTGTGGGCTGATTTGGAGGGGAGCATGTTAGAATATAGAATTATAACCCTCAACCATCACTACAACTCTGGAGTCTTGGTGCAACAGCAGGGTCCTTTAACATTTATCAATGTTGAATCCTTCTACCTTGACATTCAAATTTATATTTAGGTAGGCAATCTTTACAGTCCAATGAATACATAGAACTGATATGTTACAAGACCATCGTATCATCAAATGTAGGTGCAGTTTGCCCTCACTGACAAACAAAGAATCAAATGAAGCAGTAATCTTGATATGAAACTATCAACCATCCCCATGTATCCTACGTACAAGTTTTCCTGCTATATGCTATTGACTTCACACAACATAAATGCCCAGGAGAAAGAGGTTGAAATGCTTGGATTGTTAGAAGCCACTGAGTTTGGTTACCTCTCTATCTCATGGCTTAGGTTAACTCACTCATCTTCCATAGTGACCATAAGGGTCTTATCAACATAGTGGACTAGGTGAAGAATAGAAGATCAGAGCACCACACAAGACAGTTACTATCAAAGACAGAGTAACTATCGAATTGGGTCTCAATGAAACATACCAATGGAAATTGTATTGATATGACTATTTAATATTGAACAAGTCTAATAATGTATTATATCTATCATATTATTATGCTCAAACTCATATATATGCCGTGTTTGCGTCTAAGAAATTTTAAAAGAAAAACAGTTCCTACAAGGCCTGCCTAACTAATTAAATTAGCAGTTGTAGTAAGACATTTCATGAAAATGATAAAAGTTGATGAACCCAGGAAAACGTTACCAGTCATAAAAGTTGTACCCCCACACAGCACAGTATTTTCGAGAAGTTGACGATGGTTTTCCGATGAAACAGTTGATATGCAACGGACTAGCTGCTCAACAATACCATACTCCTCTAGACCTAAAATAGAAGGTTGAAATAGAGCTTCTCCAACAATGTATCTTTCCCTTTCTATTGTTATCACCTGAAAGCATGTATTTAAAAGTTATTGTAACTATAACAGGCATATAGTAACATGCACTGCATATTTTTTCCAGTCAAGTAAACATCTAAAATACCTCCACATATGGAAAAAAACAAAACAAAAAACAAAATAAAACATCTAGTGGTAGCAAGGCAGAGCTTTAGTCAGATATATGAGCCCAGGAAGCATTTTAAAATTTAAATTAACTGCACCATGAGGAAACTATGTTAAGATAACTTTGGGTAGCTAATTTGTTGAATATTTCAATGAGTTAACACCAGATATTTGCAGAATATTTAAGATAAGTATGTTAAAAAAAATTACTGTCACCAGCCATCACAATCCATTAAGGCATTGGGTGAAGTGGTCATCTAACACGGAACTCGACTACCAGGTTCTTCTTTCAAGAGTTACTGAATTCAAACCACCCATAATTGTTTAGATATATCTATTTATCCTCATTTATTATGTCATTCCAAACAATTCATCCTTATGCTGGAGGTCTTTTCTTCAGGGCCCCAATTTCAATATGAGGGAGGGCCTCGAGTATAGAACTTGTTTTACAAACATTCCAACCCACAATCTATAGATAAAGCTTACTGGTGACGTCGTTATGTAATAGCAGGGCTAACTATTTATAGGCCTGAAAGATAGCTTCTAAGATATTAGCTACCACGGATGGATTGCAAATTTGGTTTAATCCGACAATACATTAGGTAACATCTCTTGACAGCACTTACACAGGTTTTCAAGGCACCGATGAGTGACTGTTTCCCAAAATTAAGAAGGAAGAAAATGAAATTACTACGAAAATCACATCAAAGCTCTGCTAAATTTTATATAATTCATGAGCTAAATGTACGAGTAAGGCACGGTACATATGGATTTAGATATTTGTGGTAATAAATATTATTATTTAGACTGATAGAAACCTGTCCATCTGGAAGGGTGTGGGTTTCCCTCTGGCATGAATTCTGAGTCTTTTCAAAGGCAGTTTGGTCCTCTGCACAGCATGAATACCGCTCCTTCAATTTTTCAACCTCAGAAAAATCAATATTTACTAGAGGATTGGACTTATGAAGTTCCTGAGCAAGCAGCTTTGTCAAATCAATTCCTCCAATCTCAAATCTTTTTGAGGCAATGTGCTGAACAGCACCTTCACAAACTGGTGCTATATCTGGAATGATTGGAAAGAAAACATTTCTATAAACTCTTACTTCACAGAAATAGCAGATCTTGTCTTAAAAGAATAATAAAAAGCAGTTGAAATACCACAATAGAACCACAATAAAACATTCATAAAAGGATGGACCTGTTAAGCCCCTAATAACTTAATATTGGTTGAAGCAAAACATTTGAGGCGTTCGCATATTAAGAATTAAGATAAATAGATATAAGAGGAAATAAGTTGCCCCCTTTTTTATTTTTATCTTTATTAGAATTCATAGATCAAATTAATAGAGATTAGCCACACCAGCATGTTCAGCCTTTCATATAAAACATTGAGAAAATGAGTACACTTAATTATTAATGGGAGAATTCACAAGGTTAACTAACAACTTTCCTTTTAATAGAGGACAACAGAGCAGTACATTTAATTACTAATCAAACTTTACAAGTTGCTTCTCTCTTTTCTATATACTCCTTCGGCTGCAAATTCTTGCTTCTACTCACAAACTAGCCAATGCGGAAAAAAACTCTAAACACACCGATCTCACATTCTTCTTTCTCAAACTCTCCAGCACTCAACTCTCTTTCTACTAGTAGCTTTTGCAACTATCATCTGAGGCCTACGGCAAAGGGTTTTTCAACTGACTTAGAAAGATCTAAAGTCAGTTTAGCGAGTCAACAATACAATATAAAATTTGTTCTTATATACAAGAATTATAGCCAGTGTTGCTAGAATTTTCTAAAGAAAATGTTCTAGAGAACATGGCTCTATGACCACCTCAACTGCTTCTAACAAGGCTTCGGCTTCTATTAGTATTGGCATATTGCCTCACCACTCCAAACTATAATTAATCTCATGATGTTCAAATAAATAAGATTCCAACAATCTGTCGACATTATATTGGATCTTCTAGTCTTTCCTTTTTCTGCATATACCATGACATTTTGTTTCTATTAATATTAAGATGGCTCACAATTAGACATGGCAATTATGACCCATGCTCAATTGCCCGCCCAGCCCGCCCACCATTCAGTCCGCCCATAACCCACCCATTTAGTTAAATGAGTCTAAATGGGCGGGTATCCATTGAAAAGAAGATAAAAGGGCACTTAATGGGCGGTCATCGTGCCCGCCTTGAACCCGCCCGAGTGAACACCCGTTATCTCCCTTTTGTACTCTGTCGTTCTCTCGTCTCTCATTCTTTCTCTCGTTCCCTCTCTCTCGCCTTAAACCCGCGATTCCCGCGGTGACCTCGCCGGAGCCGCCCACGACCGTGCCATCGCCGGCAAGCTCCGCCTCCTCCCACTTGTAAGCTCCTCCATCGCCGGCAAGCTCCGCCATCGACATCAAGACAAAACCCTCTTTTTTAGACTTTGTTGAGGCTTCTCTGATCTGCTCAGGTTTATGCTTCATTTTGAGATCAAACATTAAAATTCTGTTGAATCTAGTGAAATCCGTGTAATTTACATATATTTTTTAAGTTTAAAGTGTGAAATTGGAGAAGGAAGAGGAGAAAATGAAGGAAAAAGGAGTACTTTAATCAAACAGAACCCTAGCTGAGATCAACTTTGTTAATGTTTCATTCCATGGTCCAAAATTTTTAAATTTAACCTAAATCCCCTAATTTTTGCAGTTGATCGAGATTTCCCAAAAAATGGTCGAAAGAGGACGAAAATTGCAACTTCTCCAGCTCGCAATCAGGTATATCCCCTTCTCTTGAATTCAAAGTCATAAAGTTAGTTTCATTTTCTTATGAAACAAATTTTCTTTTGTTATATAAAACCTATTTGAAATTATTCAAAAAAGATTGTTTTTTTATGAGGTTAGCAAATGCTCCATTTCTATGTTAAGATACTATTGCATTTGGCTTCATTAAACAAGACAGTATGTGAAACTGGATATATGCATAGTAAACTATTGAGACATGGTGTAATGCAAGAGTCCTTCAATTTCCTGCTTAACCTCATATAATTTGGTTCTACATGTGCTTTACTGATTTTTGGTGCCTCAAAATTGGATATAGATCTTTTTCCTTCTTCACACTTGCAGCTTCCTGTCCTCTTTGAGTACAACGGAATGAGGACGCTGAATCTTGTTGCAAGTCTTGCCAAGGTAAAGACTTTAATATCTTTGTTGTCACGTGAACCATATATCAATTCTATATTCCCTAACATTTCTCTAAGAGATAATTCACATATTTACATTGCTTTTATGTTTAAGCATGCTATATTATGCAATTACTTGTTTGTTCAACTGTGTTATTCATCTAAAGCTAACACTGAGATTCAAAAACTGTTAAGAGCATGGTTCATGGTTGTTGTCAAAGGAATCTGCCATCACAAATTTGATACAATATATATAACGCGGGATAAGAAGAGAGCTAAAGTCCCTCTCTCATATCCACTGGTTTCTTGTATACTCAATGTGTCGCTTCTTGCATAAACCATACTTGTCTCATACTTACTCATGTATCATGTTGTTGTTTTCGTCGATTTTTGATTTTTTATGTAAATACCGTATAAATGGATGCTGACTTCCCATGTTTTATTAAGTTACTTTGAGCTATAATGTTCAACCGTGTTCATTTATCTATTAACACTCTTTATTTTTTGAAGTGTTTTTTTTTTCGATGTTCCAGTGTACAGAGTTCACAGTTATTGCCACGAGGGATACTGAATCAATTTTAGAGCATTTCGTAAGGACGCATAGCACGACAAAGAGAGAAAGATAACACACTCTTCTGGTTCTATTCTGGTAAGAGGACTATCAGATTGCAAAAAAATACATTTTTAGGTGTTAACAACTATCTGTTTGTTGGTTGGTCAAATCTCGCCAACATTTGTATTTGTTTGGATATCTACTTGAGTTGTTCCTGTGAAAATGGGATTGGTTGCAGAAAACCACCCTTGTAAATCCAGGTAAAGCGAAAAAAGAAGTTTGCAGAGTGCATTGCACAAACTTATTCAGGTAAAGCGAAAAAAATTCAGCAAGATGTGTCCAATAGGTGGAATTCTACGTTTCTAATGTTGCAGAGTGTTTTGAACTTTCGTATGTTAGCAAAAGTATTTAACTGTGTAAGTATCTTAACTGTGTTTCTGCATGTAGGATTCACTGGTGGAGACTGCCAAAGAGCAAGCTAGTTTCATAAGCAATATGATTGCACTGCTACCAAGTAGAGTTTTGTTCCCATTGTTTTTGCTGATATCATGTGAGAGATGAAAATTCGTTGTATATGGTCTTCTGAGCTTTTTCGTACACTGTATTTTTCCTTTTTGTAATGTTAGAACAACATGATTGTTCCGAACTTGTTTTTCCTACGTGAAGTAACTGACATTTTTACCCCATCATTATTGAAAATTATCGAATCGAGAATTTAAAACTGATGAGCTCTCCTCAAGTTACATTGATACTCTTTCTCTCTCTGAAGTCCACTCGTGGGGTTATTGTGGCATTTTAAGGCGAGTTGTGATGATTATTCATAGGACAGGTTTGCACGTTCGAAAAAGTTGTGCTCTATTTGAATTTCTTTTTGATGTGACATAAGTGGCTTCTTGTGGCATTGATTATCGCAATAAGCAATGCATATCATATTGCAAGTGATGTATTCTTTGAGTTTTTTGCGCTTGGTATAGTAAAAAAAATACATGATTGGTAATTTTAATGCTATATTGTTCAATATGTTCATGCTATTTTGCAAAAAGCCCCCAATAGTATACAAAAAATCCCTAAATGTTTACAAAAATCATCCTAAAAAAAATTATACATATATAGTTATTATAATTAAGTGGGCAAATGGGCGACCCGTTTATTAAATGGGCGACCCGTTTATTAAATGGGCGGGCAAAAACCCGCCCATTTAAAAAATGTTAAATAGGCCATAAATGGGTAAATGAGCAAAACATGCCCGCCCATTTATGGTCCGCCCATTTAATACCCAAACCCACCCATTTAACATCCCTACTCTCACGTAACCTTCAATCAATTTGTACACAAAAAACACCTTTAAAGGGGTTTCAGTCGCAATTAGTGACGGAGCCCTGAATTTTAGGTAGGAGGGCCAAAAAACTTAAAAGTTACACACAATAATATGTTAAAAATTTGTATTATTGATTAGTATCATACATCACCGCAATAGCAAGAATTTCAACATCAAATTTCAAATTAGAGTATAATTTTTACAACAACACGGAAAATGATAGGAGAAGTGCAGCAAACAAGAACAAAGTAGGGCACGGAAGGGCTGACCGAAATGATTGTGGATGGCCGACTAGTTCAGAGGAGAGTAGAAGAGGTAAGACCAGGCTGAATTTTTTTGATCATTTTATCGTTAGAGAAAGAGATTTTTTTTTTTTGATAAATAGAACTCCTAAGGGTAAAAGAATTAACAAACTTCATTCACGAGGTGTATCAGCAATTGGACAATAGTAAAAGCTTATAGGAGGTCTATCGGCAACAATAAAACTATAGTCTATTCATAATTAGGCAGTTGTACAAGCGGGTCTATCCCCTGATTTTTTTTTTCTCTATGTCAATAAGATCATAAGATGTTATACAAACTCAAAACAACCTTTTGTTTTAGTGCAGCGAACAACTCCCATCCTACTAATGTCAATGCCCAAATGACCAGTAGTCTTAAAGATCGATGTTTTTTACACAGTAAATTAGAACCAAGAGAAATTCATGGGGGTTATTCACCCAGGACCCCATTGTATACCTTAGGAGAGCTGATCCAAGTACAAATTAAAAAGGCTCATCCTCAATGATATAAGGGCAAAATGGCCAGATTAGTATATTTTTTAGAGGCTTGGTGACATGTTGTTATATTTTTTTTAGTTTTGTCAGATTGGTAAAAAATTTTGACTCCAGCGCCATATAGGCCTTAAATTTGGCCGAAGTTAATGTTCCGACCAGGGTTGATGGGATTTTTTACAAAAAAAACCCTCATCAAATACAATTTCTTAGTCGTAACCCCCCCTCCTCCTCCTCATGTTCCCTTCTTTTTTCTACAGTGATGATGCCGGCGCTGGTGCCGTCACAGTGCCCCGCTCATGGCCAACCTTCATCTGCTCTCTTCCTGCCCAGCTCCACAATCTCTGTCGCGTCGTCACCAGCAGCTCCGCTCTCTTCAGCAGCACCACCTGTTTTGCCTCAGCATCCACTCGCAGCGAGTCACAAAGAGATCTCCAGCTGAGGTTTTGCGAGTTCCTTCTCCATCGGCCCTCTCATGTCCTAGTGCAGCGAGAATGTGTATTGAACTTGATCTTAGGAAGGCGCGGCCGCAGTTCATTTGGGTTGGTTTGTTTGAAGGTTTTAAACAAGCGATTGTTTATAATAGAGTGCCTAAGTTGTGTATAGGTTGCCACATGCAGGGTCACACAAATGTTGAATGCTCTAAAATCTCTTTGGACACCTACCAGCCCCAAGCTTCAGGCCCAAATCCTGCCTTGCAGGATCGCTCACAATCCGTTCGACGAAATGCCAAAGAGACCTTTTCTGTTGTCACTCAGGGTCTTGCCGCTCAATCAGCTCCTACTCTTCTCCCACATGCTGGTGCACCTCCAAATATATCCACAGCTTCTGCCGAAACAGTCCTCTTGGCTTCAGCAAACCCCCATCAGTCATGGGCCAATCCCCCACCAACAACGTATGTTGCTACAACAGCAGCTCAATTATGGGCTTCAGAACCGCCACAGCAGGATCCCCTCGATCTCCTTCCTCCTCTAGCGACCGTGACTGCCTTGCCCCATCGCCCAGCTCCTCCAGCGCCGTATGATCAGCGTCATGCCAAAGCAAAGGACCCCCGTCATCCTCCTCAAACCTCCCCCTCTCCCTCTTCGGATCAGCACTACACCCTCCCCCAACATTACCAATGTGCCAAAATGCTAGTGCCCCATCCAGGCACACCATCTATTCGGTCATATGTCACTGCAGCGAAGGAAGTTGGTGCAATCTCTTTAAGCCAATCCCCCTCCAGCCGAGCCATGGACATCCATAGCTCTAGCAACACTCATTCGTCGCTCCTCCATCCAGATGCAATTCTATCCCATTCGGCTAATCAAGCAGCTGTTCCCCCTCCACATCAACCCCTGCCATCGCCATCGGTTGAAGAGGATGAGGATGAGGAGGGAGAGGGGGGTTAGAAGCATGAACATATATTTGATGAGGGAGTTTTTTTTTAGAAAATTCCCATCAGTCCTAGCCGGAACAATAATTCCGGCCAAATTTAAGGCCTATATGGCACCAGAGTCAAAAATTTATATTAATCTGACAAAACTGAAAGAAAATATACCAATATGTCACCAAGCCTCTAAAAAATATACCAATCTGGCCATTTTGCCATG